CAGTATAGAGCCAGACCAACCTGCACACTTGTGCAGTCTGACCAGGCTCTATACTGTTGATAGCTCAAAAAACATAGTTGATAAAACGAAAAAATTAAAATAAAAACCAATAGTGAGACTTTAATTGAAACAAGAAAAATTTGAAAGAAAAAATTTTGAACACATTCTTTTTATATATTTTGTGTAGTTTTACGAATGCGACTAAGAAGTAAAAAGTATCCACTGCATTAGTATGTTATACATGTTATAAAATAAAGGTAGGTTTGTAAGTATCTCGCCTGTGTGCTGACATTGAGAATATCATGCTTTCAATATAGAGTCAGTACCAGCCAGCAGACACACCTCTCACCTGACAAGATCCTAGACTGTAACCCACTATATGCTAATATTTCCAAATCAAATTCCCTGAAATTACAAATGGACTGTTCCAAATCCAAAGCTGGTCAAGTCCTTTCCATAAATGCAGGGTTATATGTTCAAGTTTCTGAACATTAAAAACAAAATACATTCATATAATGGTATATTGCTTAATGCCCCATTGAGTGCATGCAAACTTTAAACTACATAAATGAACCAGATTTACCGGACAAATGAGAGATGTAACTAGAGCAGAAAGTGTGAAGGATATGCACAATAAGGTGAAATATTTATGAATCAAGGTTATGAATCAATTCTAAATTCATGAAGGCATTTCATAGATAAAAGATTTTAAATGAAAATGGATAGATGCAAGAACTGATTGTAGCTAATACCTGTATGTTTGCGTATATAGAGACGGGGGTGGGGAGTGAGTGACCTTAAATGAGGATATCTTTAAGCCACGATGATTCGATATTATAATGAGCCAATAAATAGCTATAGAATGATAGATAAATATACATAAGGATACTTGATGCCATTAATTTTGTAAAGAAAAAAATAAAATAATAATTAAAAACACAATGGAATGATAAACTGATTTGAAATGCCCCTTTCAAATTTTATATGATGTGAGAAAACAGTGTGAGATGAGTGAAAAAAAAAAAAAAACACCATAAGATTTTTCTGTCAAAACTTTGTTTTTTACCTGATTTGATCATTTTGTAGTTACAGTGCTGAAACAATATTATATTTGTGAAAAAATGCTATGCCACCGCAATAATGTAACACTAATTAGTAGGAACAGAAATGGTTTTTTGACTGTTTGCCATAATGCAGTAGTGTCCAGCTAATATTCGCGGATGGTGCGGTGGCAAAAAAGGGAAACTACTCTTAAAGTATAAAGATTACTCAATTAACCCCCTTTTCTTCTTGGATTATGATTCATTTGAACTACATCCAGGACAAAAAATAATAGGACTGAAGAATTTCATACTGAAGAATTTCATGGTGAATACACATCTGTTAAATATGAAGAAAACAATAAAAATAAATATGGAAAACGTTAAATCTAAATGACTGATAATATTAATACCTAACATACATGTACAAATTCGTTTATGTAAAAATCAGAAAAATGGTTCAACACATGAGAATAAAATAAACAAACAAAATGCGAGCTGGCCTTGAAAAAATAAAAGTAACATCTGGCAGTGAATATTAAAACGAGTGAACAATGAAATAATAATATATATATGAATGAACATCAGGGTTTATATTCATCCACAATTCCAGGCATGAAAATGTAGACAAAATATTTAAAATTCTAGATAGCCATATTGATTTATTTTTCCACTGTGTTATTAATTTTCTACTGAAATATAGCAGTCTTTTTTTTATGTGCTGTTTTTCTTTAAAACAGAAAAAAAATCACTTTAAATGATCACAAAACAAGTACTTCCCCTTAAAAGATTGACAAAACCGTGTAGTTTTTCAATACATATTGACAAAAATATGAAGTTTTTCTTTAAATATTGACAAAACCATGAAGTTTGTCTTTAAATATTGACAAAAACTATGTAGTTTTTCTTGTAATATGTACACGTTTCACTTAACTATTTCAATTTGTCATAGCATTTTTTTTTAAATAGTTTAAATGTCAACTGTAAAATCAGAGTATCTAGTTTCAATACCAAGTGTCTGAGACCAAGTATGTAGTTTTAAGACCAATTCCATTAATTGCAGATGAATATTGACCCTGTCTGAATGGGGCTGGTATAACAGTGTGCTTGATATTATACATGTATATAGTTTATTTCTAATATTGATTGGTAATTATTACTGACTACAGGTATTACGGTAACCAGACTTTCATATATACATTCATAGAAATTTATTTTGGGTCGTAGAATACAGTTTCGAGAATGTTGAAATTTTAAAGAAAAGAGTTATGGGACGGTAGTGACAAATTTATGTAATTCTGCACCAATATATAAAAGTAAATATATTAGCATGTCTGCATATGGTAAACATTTGTTCATTTTTAAAAAAACAAAAAAATCCTTTACCATTTAGCATTGGCTTTTATTTTTGAGCTTATTCACTCATACAAAATCACTTTTGAACATTAATTAAACTAAAGTTTAAACAATTAACCCAAACATTGATTAATTAAACTAAAGTTGAATAATTAACCCAAAACATCAGTATAACCATGTAAAAATCTAAGATTGTTTTAATAATTTATTGAGTTTCCACCACACTATTTCATGTACATGACTTGCAGAGGAAACTGACCACAGTGGCTCAAATATTTCAACAAATGAAGCTTATACTGCACAATTTTACATTGTACAAAATTGTACATTATATTGAGAACTTATAACGTGATAACATGGCATTAAATATATATGAGCCACGTCACGACAAAACCAACAAAGTGCGTTTGCGACCAGCATGGATCCAGACCAGCCAGCGCATCCGTGCAGTCTGATCAGGATCCATGTTGTTCGCTATCAGTTTCTCTTCTTGTAATAGGTTTTGTAAGCAAACAGCATTGATCCTGATCAGACTGCGCGGATGCGCAGGCTGGTCTTGATCCATGCTGGTCGCAAATGCATTACGTTGGTTTTGTCGTGACGCGGTATTAAATATATATGATATATTTCACAACCTGTGCTAAATATACAATAGTTGGGGGGTGAGATATTAACAAATGGCATAATTTCTATCTGTACATAAGCCTTTAGCTTTATATAAAGTAATATACAAAAAAAAATCCTTTACATTTATATCCTTCACTCTATAGAAAACTCTTTGACATCAATGTCCTCGACTTTAAATCAAAATCTTTGACATCAATTTATATTTTTTTTTATATAAACACCATCACTATTTCTCCATGAAGATTCCTGTTCAAAGAAAATTTCAATTAACAGAGAACATTTTTTAAATCTGAAACTACAATAATTTGGAAGAAAAGAATTATGTTTTTACCTTTTGTATACCATTAATAATGTAACTTTTATAGAAAATATCAGTTTATTTTCTTGCGAGAGAAAAAAAAAATTTTCTTGCAGAGAAAAAAGAAGGTGACAAAAATTTTCACCTAAATTATCTGACAGTGTACACAAAACATATCAGGAACCTCACAAAAGAGGGTGATTAAAGCTTAAGCTACAATAAGACACAGACAATACCTGCATCCTAAACCTGAATTCAATACAAGATATGCCATTTTGTTTGAAAATTATAAAATAATATACATGTTCTTCATATATAAAACATAGCGTTTTAAACAGTCATGGAAACTAAATTGTGAGCTGGAACGAAAAAAAAAAAGTCTAAAAATTCATTTTTTTTCGTTTTTCAAAATATTCTTTCACTTTAGAATTTGCTTTCACTGAATAACTGCTGTGTTATAACTGCTGTGTGATACTGCATTAACATCTAGTAAATTTTGTTTACAATGAAAACTTTACAAAAGGAAGCTCAAACTTCTAGTTAAAGTCACAACGAATCTTACACTGAGGCCTATTTAACACTGATCTGCGTACTATTTTCTATTAAGCCATCTCTATTGAACATGAAAAACAATTTTTTTTTGTGATTATCCAACACAAAATGCGTAGTCATACTAATCATAACATCTTTACACAAAACATTCTGCTGAATATTTATTTAGCACTTTGCCAAGAAACAAGATCATCTTTTTCTTCATATATGGACCATAAAAATGGACCATTCCAAATTATATATAATTATTCACCCTTAACCTGCTGAATTTGTGAAAATGGACTTGCCCAGCTTTGAGTTTGGAATAGTCCATTCAAAGTTTTAGGGATTTCAATATTAAAATGGAAAAAGAAAATTATTGAGCAACCAACAGTAGAGAGCCTGGTCAGACTGCTCAGTTATTCAGGCTGGCCTGGATCCCGGATATTCAAGCTAACATGGATCTCGGAAAGTCAGGTTGGCCTGGATCCCGGATATTGAGGCTAGCCTGTATCTTAGGTATTCAGGCTGACCTGGATCTCAGATATTCAGGCTAACCTGGATCTTGGATAGTCAGGTTTGCCTGGATCCCAGATATTCAGGCTGGCCTGTATCTCAGGTATTCAGGCTGACCTGAATCTCAGATATTCAGGCTAACCTGGATCTCGGATATTCTGGCTAACCCGGATCTCGGATAATCAGGCTGGCCCGGATCTATACTGGTAGCAAAAGTTTATCACGTTATGTTTCCAGCAGGTTAAAGGTTGAAAAATTTCCAACATACAATCTCCTTAGTTGCAATTTATCATCTGACAGTTGTATAATATAATTCATACCATTTTAAAATATGATTCAACTCTAAAAGAAAAACATCTCTATTTATTTAAGTAGAAAATATCACAATACACAAAGGATGGGTCTCTCAAATTCTCCAAGTTCTTAAACTGGATCCAAATTCTGTACAAAAAAGAAATATGTACTTGAAAAACATAATATTCACAACTCATGCAAACTAACATTTCAAAATTTCCTTTAAAGAAAAATGTATTTTTAACAAAACTGTGTTAACTAGTTTCAAACACTGGTTTGATCAGTCTGTAGCACTTGATTCAACAGCTGATTAACCTCCTTTACATCTCATTACTAACCAACCCTCACAACCCTCCTGTCACCTTGGCCGACCTTGACCTCTGACCTTTAAAACTCTGGATTTAGATCTTTGCTTGAAAAAAGGCAAGAATCTTTCTCGGGATTCAGAGCAATGCGAGTTATAACACTTTTCACTCAAGGCAAGGTTTACCGCATGTCAATCCTCAAATTTAAACCAACATCCTTCCTCAAGAGCCACTCCCATTAGCAATAGTTAACCACTCCCACTTAATTATATATTTCATTCAAAAGCTCTGCTCCGAAACTTGTAATTTCAAAGAACTGAATGTCACGTCACACCTTTTCCTCTTTTTCCTGACCCTCACTGACGACAAACACTCTGTATCAGCTGCGACCTTTCCGTTCCCGTCCCAAAAGATTAGTTTTGAAGCTAAATATCACAACACTTGGAAAACATGTTTAAATGTTTCAATAAACAATAGATTCAAGCACAACAAAGATATTACACTGAGCACATATGTCATGAAGGAGACTGCCAGTCATGTAAAAATGTGTTTAGAAAGTCAAAGGAAGGTCTGGATGGTGGGTTAGTGCTCCAGCACGACAAAATTACGTCGTAGATCTCCGACGGGCACGTATCTGGTCTCGGCATTCTGTAGCCTTGTTGTACATTCTCAAATGCCTCTTTACTTCCCATTCCTACAAAAACAGAAAGATCACATTTTAAAAACAAGGTTATTTTACTTGAAAATTAACAATTAAGGGTCCATAACTGTGCCAAAAGAAACTCTAGCTGAAAATCAAGAGAGTATGCACAACTAGGCATGGTGACAAACAATCCTGTGAAGTTTCACTAAAATCTCCCCATCAGTTTTGGTGATGAAGCATGGACAAGATTATCGACAGTGCCATTACTATATGCCGCCCTTCGGGGGCATAAAAACACTACAGGGCAACCTTTTCAAAACAATAACCTCAAATAATAACAATAGTAATGAGGGACAGTAGTGAATAACCTCCCCTGAGTACTCCCTATAAATAGATAGGTCCTAAGCTATTGGATTACTTGGACTTTATCGCCTATTTCTTTGTAGCAAACTGAATTAATTAGGGCTAATTATGATCATTTGTAATATTCAGATTAGATATTGCGATAAGATGTAGAATCTGTTGACATAAATTAATCATTTTTTCCTTAAGGTTTACACATTTGTTGATGCATGTGTAAATAATTTATTAAGACATATCAACCTGTCTTATATAAAACTCAACGATAAAAGCAAAGGATTCCAAATATTTGGACCTACTTACATTTTGGTTAACCTCGGTTTTTATCAAGGGAAGATAATCCACTACTGTCCCCCAATTTTCTCAATAACAATAACAATTTCTTAATAACAATAACAATTCCTTAATAACAAATTTAACCTCTGTAGAGCCACATATCTCAGCAATAACCAAAATCTCCAAAGAGTGTTTCCCCAGACAGAGAATGTTTATCACTAATTATAATAATAAATGTTTATAACATCAATTTTCTTTTAATGAGATAATTTTATGTTCATATATATTATATCTATATGGCTGCTGTAAATATATGATTAATTTCTAATTTTCTTCTAATAAAGGATTTGTGCTGTATTTGAATTAATTGGTGAGTTAGTTATATGGCTAAAACATGGTTATTTGTTTAAAAGATTATAAGCTTATATTACTCCTTGGCATTATGGTAATATATCAAAGGTTTCTACATAGTAAAATTAACTTTAACATAATATAACCATTGGTTCTTAATCAATCTGGATAATTCATTTCACTGTAATAGTAATTTCACAGTTTTATTCACTTTTAAGTTTTGAGTTACTTCCCTTTAGCCATGCTTCACCTTAGTAAAACACTGACTTCAATTTTCCAATATCAATTCAACAAGAAAAAAGTTTATATTCTGAAAAACCCATATAGTATGCGCATATGTCACAAGAATACAATTAGCTATAGCCTTAAAAATATCTGATATTTAATATGGTAAGTCTTCCAAATTGTAATGCCAAAAAATGAAAAAAAAATGTATAATTTTTATTGAGAAAAATCCAATTTTTTCTGTATTTTCATATTGTGATATGAAAAGTATCATATTTCACTTGTGGCTACCGCCACTCACGAAATATTTATTTTCATACCACTTGATGAAAATAAAGAAAAAACTTGAATATCCTCTATATACTAGGCCATATAAAAACTTCAAAACAAAAACTGTTCAAATACAAGATGCTAAATCTCTTCCCAAGAGAAAAAATGTCAAACCAGAAGTCTAAATGAATCAACATGGGGCTTAATTTACCATGACACATTTATCTAACCAATGTACATACACTATCGTATGTTATCAAGTAAAAAACACAGATCAATCAGACTACAGCTAATGTGTACAATGAGAGGGGGGGGGGGGAAACAAACCTCCAATCATGATTAAATATGTATGAGACTGCTGCATGGTTTTTGCCAGGAAAAGATAAGAAGTTGGCTCGCTGGATAATATGGTAAATTAGGCCAAACAAATGTCAAAGTTCTGTTCTGGTTCTCTGACCAAAACAGAAGGTAGGAATGCAGTTAATTCTTTTTAAAACCCTATGCCTGTTGGAGGCAACTAAGTATATCTGTGCAACCAGTGTAGCTTTGTTATATCAGTTTAAAACTTATTTTTCAGGTCAGTGATTTTTTCCTCTTATATTATACAGCCGAATAAAGGCTGTTTCCACTATAAAAATAGGTAGATTTTCCCCTAAATATGCTATATTTTCCCCTGAAATGCCCTGTGCACATTTTTCACCAGAAACATGACTTATCAACAATAGCAGCTGACTTATATCAGTTAGTTGATAAATTTAATTGACTGCAAGACAGAAAGCTGCCCCTTTAGATAGCCTCTGCCATTTACCATGCTTCTTAAATTGAATAGAAAATGAACAATTTAACCCTGCATGATTTATGTTACATTGAAATATGTGTAATTTAGCATACACCAGTCAAACAGATCAGCCAAAACAAAGCAGACACTTGACATGCTGAACTTAAACTATGGAAGAGGTTGGTTAAAATTCTCAATGTCTTAAATCAAGGTTAACCCTGGTTTGAATCTCCACTCCTATGTATATAACAAATATCATTTTAAAATTCAAAATTCAAAGTGGTTTTTCCTTAATCACAACTATATTTCACAATGTTAGAAAAGAGCAAAAATCTAGATTTTATTAACATATAATTTGTTTGGCACATATATTAAAAGCACTGATGTTTGAGGTAGACATTATTTCACATCATAACATACCTTCGTAAGGTTCTTTCCCATGCATAAATACTTCCATCATTAAAATACCAAATGACCACACATCTGCCTTCGTGCTATATTTGTTATACAGTAACACCTCTGGGGCCATCCATTTGATTGCCATTTTTAAACCTGAAATGTACAGTAAAACTTATATACAGCTGTGAAACCTAGCACCATTTTTGATAAACTTAAAACTTCAATGACAATTTTTTTTATTTCCTTGTAAAATTTTCATTAGTCTGTCAAATTATATCTGCCAGTTTTACAAACACTATCGCTTTATGAAATCTATCCACTTCTTCACTCTCTATAAAATAAATAAAATAAGAATTATCTGCCATACTAAGGGAATTAACGCACATCTCCAATTTCATAAACAAAGGGAAGTAACTTCATATCAAAGGGAGTTAACAAATTTCTGAAATCAGTGTATACAGACAAATGACCACTATCACTGGGAAATTTTTGCTTGCTTGAGGATCCAACCAACGACCACTGGATTACAAACCCAATGCTCACCATAATAAGCTAAGTAGTTGGATGTCATTAGATTCTTAGTGTAAGGTAGCAAACAATAACTATCTTTTTCTTGTGTATTTATAATACAACATAGTATGGCAAAATTCTGAAAATTCTATAACAATTG